CAACAGGCGTACTAAAGTAGATCGTAACCAAGTAGTTTATAGCCACAACAGGATACACAACGGTATGTATAAACGGATGAGGACTTGGATGACAATCATGCGACATCTTGGATATTTGCAACACCGGGCGAACGTTGTTTGGAAAACCGCAAGTTTGACAGTGGCCAGTGGGACTTAGTTGTTGTAGTACTATGGTAGTTGTTGTGCCAAATAAGCCGTAAGAGGCAAACACCAACAGTACGTATTGGGTACTTACTCTCATGCCTGTGCAAGTAACCCTTATCCTGACCTCCAAATGAAACCCATACATGTTTGTTCATACATGCTTGTTCATGCGGACTAATGTGTCTCTGTCCAGTTTTGTGCCAGTTAATAATGAAGTCCGTGGAAACACATGTGCATATGTTGCATTCGAACTGCCATTGGATACAGATGACGGCAATCTATGTATATATGTATACCGAATGAATTCCACGAGGATCTTCATACCGCTTTTGTACGGTTAACTTAGTGCAGTAGAACGACATTCGAGCAAACCGAAAATAATATTACCAGAACATGAAGTAGGTGAGTTTATGACGAACTCATGTTGATTTCAGGTGTTGCGAATTCAAGGCAAATTTGATCGATGCGAATTCCGTGAACTGCTCAAAAGGGCGGTTTCTCAGGTGCCGGAGAAGGCACAATTGTATGCGGAATAGAAGCACCATGAGTATGTTCCCATTCAATTTACTAATCCAGGCCAATAAGGCGGCGTATGTGGTACGTTTGCCTGCGTGATGAGTAATCTTGCATTTCAGAAGTAGATGTTGCTTGAGTTCCCCTGTGTGGATGCGCCTGATGTGACTGTTGACAAGGTGCCTACCTGTCTATTACCCACTACCTCGTCCATACTGGCTCCAGGAGACAGTTGGTCGTCGCTGGAGGGGACGGAGTGCACCGTCCTCGTGACGGTGCTAGGCTCAAAGAGTGGTTCCATGCAATCTGTGTGGAACGGGCTACGGTCCAGCCACCGCCTCGTGTACGTCTGGTGTGTATGGTTTCCCAATTAGGCCGGAATGCTTCCGTTCTGCTTGTTGAAGGAGTGTGGGCCGGCTCCGTTGATGAAACGTGGCTCCCATCCGCATGCCTCCCGGTCTTATTCCTTCGGGTTTACACTGGATATGGGGTGTGTGGGTGGAACTATGGGTGGTGCAGCGCAAGCCACCCATGGTCCCCTTTGTAGGCGCAGGCGTCCTGTGACTGTCCCCATGGACGTCACAGTGACAGCCAAATCCGGATACGGACGCCGCCAAATATATATATATATATATATATATATATATATATATATATATATATATATATATATATATATGGTTGGCGGCATCCGGTTTCGGATTTGCCTGTCACTGTGGCAAGCCACAGGACGCCTGCGCCTACAGAGGGACCATGGATGGCTTGCGCTGCACCACCCACAGCTCCAACCACGCACCCCCTATCCAGTGTAAACCCGAAGGAATAAGACTGGGAGGCATGCGGATGGGAACGACGTTTCATCAACGGAGCCGGCCCACACTCCTTCACAGGCAAACACAAGCACGCTGTATTTGGGGAATCAACCGCACACAAGGCGGTGGCTGGACCGTAGTCCGCTCCACACTGAGTGCATGGAACCGCTCTTTGAGCCTAGCACGGCAACAAGAACCGTGCACCCCGTCCCCTCCAGCAACGACCAACTGTCTCCTGGAGCCAGTATGAACGATGTAGTGGGTAATAGACAGGTAGGCACCTTGTCAACATACACATCAAGCGCAACCATACCAGGGATATCAAACAACAGCCATTCACTTTAAACGACAAGCTGAAATAAAATAAATCCAATAGTGCATACAGATACGGTGGCATAACTCTTCGCTAAATTACCATATGAAGTAAGTTGGTTAGCAACAAATCCGTGATAAATAAGAAATGTCTACGAGTTACTTAAAATGTCACAAACGCAACAAAATTACCGAAGATAAGCGCAATTAGTGTAAGCAACGTGGCCAGTTAATAGAACATTATTCAGGGAGGCAGAACAAACCAAATAAAGCGGAATGAAATTTATCCAGCTTAAAAAGACCTAGTTTAAGTGTAAGTTGGTTTAACCCAACTGCGGTGAAGAAGCATCAAGAATGCAACATCATATACATCATATATATATATACATCATATACATATACATATATATATAACAATGACAAATAAAATAAAGTGTCTCTTCGGGCCCCGCTTAGTCCTTCTCGTGGAATGTGGTGGGGTGAGGGGAGGCAAAACAGTGAAGGTAACAAGTAAATGCATATAAAACTTTTGATGGTGCCCGAAGGATAGACATAGGAAAATTTTGACGCGGAGCGGAGAGAAAGGAGCACCGAACGATACCAGCGAAAAATTCCACGCGAACTCTCTTATCACGACCTGTGAATAAGGCCAGAAACTTCTGAGTTGCAATAGTGCTCGATAAAGTAAGGTGGACAATGCAAAACTAATGCCAACGAGAAAGTAGGCTACAAGATTACCGACCAACTAATCGAAGGAAAATCCACTGCCGCATCCAGAAACCAAGCCCGTGAGAACAAATTACAAGCCAACAGAGGACTATCAGAGAACGAGTGTGACGAAGTGTTGCGAAGAAATAGGTACTTTAAAACGGGTTAAAATTTCGGATTAATTCGGCGCTGGAGCAGTACGCATCGTCGAAATCAGCAAACACTCACATCAAAAGCGGATGTACGGAATAAGCTGTCCAACTCATTAGGCATAACAGTCCAGTCAGCATGACTGGAACCCTGATTGACAGGACAATTCGCGCATGCACCGGTGCCTGGGAAGTGAAACGCGGAAGGAATAGGGGTTTCCAACTATGCATGCTAAGAATAACCACACAACTTCGTGTCAGATTAGCGTAAGAAAAAAACTAGGCAGAAATGTTCACTCTGGTCACGTGAGAGGATGCGAAGACATGCGAATGAGAAGAATGGAAAAACTGCGGTAAAGGTATGCTTACCATGGTGGACGTAAAAATCACACATATACAGCTACAAAAATCAGGATTTATTTTTCAAACAATGCCACTCATATAGTACATTCAAAGAAGTTAAGCAAACGAGAACAAGAATACATCCAAGCGGATTTTCGGGCAATTTGACGTAATGCTGAACAGAAATCTGCGATTCAACCATTAGGAGAAGGGAAAAACATGGTATCAGGAATTGGTGGGAAGCACAACACAAGCGCACGGATGCAAAATCTCCGTAAGTATCCTGTCTTACTTTCAAGAGAGATACAGGAATCTAATGAATCGAGGAAAACGAAAATACATGCTATTCTTAGAGACATAAACCCAGCGATGAATATATATATATATATATATATATATATATATATGATATTTCAAATTAGGAGGGAGAGCCTATGGTGCACTGAGGCTTGTGCTGGCTAGATCCTGACAGATGGTCTACCCATGCCTGCTACTGATCTGCCATGAGCTCATGTCTTGGACGCTTCATCGTGGCGACCGCTGGATGGGAGTTCGGTTACGCCCCTCTCCTAGCTAAGAGCCAAGACACCAATCCGCATGAGTCAGTGAACTGATCATGTCCTAGACCCTCTGCTTTTCGGGTGTACATTAATTCGAGGGTTTTGGCTGAGGACCCGAGTCGTTCTCCTGTCAGGTGTGGACGCGTTCCAGTATCCTAGTGCAACCTCTTCGGTTGGAAAGTGGTAGATCGTCATCCTCCAGCAAAACTTAGCCATGGGAAACAACAGGTCCACGGGCTATAAGCTCACAGCTCGATTGGCGTAGAGCAGGAGCGCCACGCATTGTCACTGACGGTGGGAGGGCACCTTCGGGAGTTCAATAGCTTGCTACTGCCCGCCTCAAACCAGGCAGCCTCTGGTCAAATTGGTGCAAACCCGTGACAACCCTCCTGCGTCCCGCCTTGGTCGCAGGTGAATATCCTACCACAGTCCAAAACATATATGAATCGTTCCAGTACCTCCAAGGCTGAGTGTGACGAACCTCAAGCGGATCCCAATCTGTCTCTGCAATCACATTCCCTCGCTTTATCTGCTCCCCACTGCCTTGTGGACCAGGCTATTGAGCCGTTGGCTTCGGGCAGTATCACAAGGGTACCCCAAACCACCTGTCTTAAAAGTCAGGCTATTGAGTCAAAGGCTCCGAGTGAAGTCCCTCACACAAACCTCCGATGCACACCCACCAACTCGCGTGCGATCGACACCAATGCAATCGTATGCCTGCGCGCAAAGTACTCAATATCGCGTGATGGAACGCGCGTACACTACCGGAAAGAAATTCGAGTGAGCGCCCCGAGCGACGCTCTGCACTGGTCGCGATAGAACTGGCGCGCTACAACATTAATTTTGCGGCGCTCAGTGAAACTCGGTTCGCTGAGTAAGGTAAGTTGCATAAAGCTGGTGCTGGCTATGCGTTCTACTGGGTGGGCAATACCACCTCAGCACCACGTGAACATGTGATCGGTTAGGCAATATCCGATCGCCTAAATGGCCAACTGGTGGGTGGACGAACGGGCATCAGCGCGCGACTGATGACTGCTCGCCTACGACTCGGAGGAGGTAAGTTTGCCACATTTATAAGCACACACGGTCCGACCATGTTTTATCCTGATGAGATGCGTGATCAATTCTACACTCAGCTATCCTCCGTGATTCCGTCTGTGCCGAGGAGCGACCGACGAGTTCTGCTAGGTGATTTCAACGCTTGCGTTGGGCGTGGTGCATCGGCGTGGACAGATGTCGTTGGTCTGCATGGCATTGGTTCAACGAATGTGAACGGTGACAGGCTGCTCTCACTGTGTGCCACTCACGGCCTTACGATCACGAACACTCGGTTTGCACTGAGTGCGAGTGATATAGCAAATCGGACGTACCCACGGAATAGTCACGCTCACCTGCTCGACTATGTCATCGGACGTCAGCATGACATGCGTGAACGGCGCATGACATTTGTACCGCGTGCAACTGTGTGGCACTGACCACAAATTGGTGCTGATTAAACTGTACATATATTTTCATAAAGCTATACATTGCACTCTTACCGTGAAACGGTGCAAATTCAACATCCTCTACCTAGGTACTGTGGAGAAAAGTATTGAGCTGCAGAAGGCGATGGCTGCACAGCTGTGTGATGTGGAATGCACAACCACAGTGGGCAACCTGTGGCACCACATTCGCGACCAGGTGACAGCTGCTGCCTAGGAGACCATCGGGAGCGCAAAATGTAAGTGGCCTATCTGGCTTGATATGAACAACGCGGCGATTGGCGCCTTGGTGTCGCAGAAGAATGCAGCAATTTCTGCACGTCTGGTAGACCGTAGTGACTAACGGATGATGACACAGTTTCGCAAAATTCGATGGTGACTGGCCCGAGAGCTTCGTCGCATTAAAAATGCATGGTGGACGGAGAAGGCAAAGCAGATGGAATGCTACGCCGAATACCACCAACAAAAGGAATTCGTTGACTTCTTGAAGGTGGTGTATAGACTGAGGTAGCAAACACTGAGGAAGCTAATCGATGATAGTTCAGGCGTCACCTGCACATTGTCTGAAGATCGGTCGAAATCACTCTGATTGTCTTTTAAACAACCGTTTAGAAGTTGACTGGCCTACTTTGAACAATCCGAAGCAGCACGAAGTGAAGGTGAGTTTGGCGGACACATGGACACTGGATGAGACGCAAAGAGCATTTGCTCAGCTGTGAAACGGCAAGTGTGCCGGTGCCAAAGGGATCTCGCCTGAAGTATCGTTACACGGCAGACTCGCGTTGATGACTGCGCTGCACCACTCCGTGCAACGCATATGGATTGAGGATGAGGTGCCTCCTGAGCTGAAGGATGCCCTTGTGCTACCACTGTACAAGGGCAAAGGGAGCAAGCAATGTTGCACGAATTATCGTGACATCGACTTGCTGAGTTGTGTGGGCGAGGTGATTGCCCGAATCATACACAACCGCGTCGTCAGACACGTTGTGGAACCGAACGTGGCGGAAGAGCAATGTGGATTCCGTTCGGGCCGTAGCACTGCAGAAATGATGTTTGCGGCTCGTCAATTGCAGGAGAAGTGTAGAGAAGAACACCAGCCGTTATACTCGCTTTTTGTCGAATTCACCAAAGCATTTGATACGATGAACCGCGAGGCATTGTGGCTGGTGTTGGGTAAGTCTGCTTGCCCGCGAAAGTTTGGAAGTATAACTGAAGGTTTGCACAGTGACATGCGCGCGAGGGTGCATCTGAGTGGAGAGAACTCGGATGACTTTGCAGTTTCTTGGGTGTGAAGCAAGGTTGTGTCTTAGCTCCTGCCCTGTTTAATATTTATCTTCATGTAATGATGCTTTGTGCTTTTTTATACGGTCTGTGCTTACGGTGTTCGTGTGGAGCACCGTAGTGATGGTGGGTTGCTGAACATCCATCGTTTCAGTGCGAAAACCCTAGTCTGTGAGACAACTATCCGTATGTTGCTGTTTGCTGACGACTGCTTTGTTTGCACACAGCGCGGATGAGTTGCATCACACGACTAGCGCTCCGGCTTCGACAGCGGCCAAATTCGGGCTCACCATCAACACAAGCAAAACTGTCTGTCTCTTTTAGCCTACACCGGAGGTGCAATCTGCAATGGTGTCGTGAGTCAGTATTGGTGCTGAAGAATTAAAAACTACCTCACGCTTCTGCTACCTAAGGAGTGTGATGTGGACTGACCAGCAGCTACACAGTGAGCTTTGTATCCGGGTATCGGAGGCAGCGGCGGTATTCGGGAAGCTTGAGTACCGAGTGTGGATCAAACATCTGCTTTCCGTCCGCACGAAGCTGATGGTCTACTTGTAAATGGAGCCTTTCACAGACTACCTGTTGTTCCCACTTCTGTTTTATTTTTTACTCATGTGTTGTGTCACTCTGCCAATTGTATACTGGTCGTGTTAGAAAAAAAACAATCTGTCGTGTAAAGGATACTATCATCAATTTGTCAAATTTTGTTGTACAGTAAGCTCAAAGATGGAAAAAGCAACCAAACAGAAAGCGGATTACAGTGCCCTCACCAAGACAGAGCAGAAATGCACATTCGTAAACATGTGTTACTTGGTTGCAGTATGAGTAGACTGGATCACACGATTGGATAAGGAAGAGAAAACTTCCATTCAACCGAAAGATAATAAAGAGGTAGCGATAAACAAACCAGTCGGTCGGTTACCGAGTGGTCTACACGCATGGCTTACAACCGCAAGGTCACCGGTTCGAATCCGCGAAGGGGTGGGCGTCCTCGCGGTATAATCAGCTCGCGTGCGACTGGTGGTGGTTGAGCGGCAGTGAAGCGCTGTTACGGTGCACAGCGGACACGTTAACAATAAACAAGAGGACCCTTGGGATTACTCAGGACGAAATGCCACAAATGACCTCGCGCGATCTGCCTGTCAAAAAATGGCAGCAAATGTGTTACTGCATCGAGTATAACACGAAAGATACCGAGGAAGACAAGTGTGTTAAGAGAGGAGCCTCAAATTACGAACGACAAATCAATGGTAGCGACTTTCGCGATGGTCGAAAAATGCATGAAGGATGTCAAGTGTAACATTAGAAAGCAGGTTAACCGTATCAAAAGAAGGATGGGATAATAAGTGAATGGGTAGAAAACCGGAGAAACTGCCAGTAAAACAGTCTGTATGATAAGTTGACGCAGTGCGATGCAACGAATGGGAGAGTGGATGAGATGAAAACCGAACCGCATGACTGATACCCAACAGTTACTCGAAGTGCAATCTAGGAATGACATAATCCATCTCTAGCAGACAGG